AGGTCAGGTCTTCCTTAACAGGGACAGACTGAAGCAGCAAGTGGCACCCAGGTCTGACCACCAGGGGAAAGGAGTCTCTCCTAATTCACATAAAGATCCCCGGATGGACAGGGCTGGCCTTGCCACCAGGTTTCACCAGCTCCACACTGAGCAGCTCTCCTTGGATGGAGATCAAACTTCCAGAGGGTCAAGCCTGGCATGTCTAGAGAGAACTGGGCTGTCCTCTCTTCTCCTTCGTCTTATGCTTGGTTGAGGGCATCGACTCTAAATACCTGGCTGTCCCTTTGAGCTTTGAGCTGAGCTCCCTGCTTTTAACTCAGAGGAGAGGGTTCTGCCACTCAGGGGATGCCTGGCACTGTCCAGAGGCTCTGGGGCTTATAATAACTGCAGCAGGGAGTACAGCTCCTCCTCCCGAACCAGCAGGACAGAGGCTTGCAGATGCTGCTGAACGTCCTGGCGGCATGGAAGGCTGCCCCCGTGCCAGCACCAGGGGCACCATGTGAGGACAGCCCACGGCTCCTTCTTCTAATTCACCCCGGTTACCACCTCACAGAGTCACCCAGCTGCAGGGTTGGCAGCTGAAGCAACCCTGACTCAGACCCTGCAGCAGCCGCACAGGAGCCCAAGTCCTGGCCCAGCCGCGGCAGCTGCACAGCTCAGAGTCCTCCGGCCTCATCCTTGAGGCAGTGACAGCCTGCTGCACGCTCAGTGGAGGGCCAGGCCCGCCCCCAGGATGCACTTCCTATGTTTACATGAGGTGTAAATCAGATTGGTACATTCTAGGCTACTGTTCTAGGCTGCCCCAGGCGACCTCAACCCTTCAGTCCACCTCTGGCCCCTCCCCTCCCCCACCCATCCACTGCAGGGTTTCTCAGCACCTCCACCACACTGCGTCTTCCACACCCCTACCTGCCTTTACCCACGGATTAGTTTCCTGTGGTTATGACAAATTAACCGTGAACTTGGTGGCTTCAAACATGGATTTACTTCTGGAGGCTGCAAATCTAAGTTCCCTTTCCCTGGGAGCAAGCCAAGGGCAGGGCTGGTTCCTGCTGGGGGCTCCCGCGGAGGACCTACTTCCTCTTTGCAGCTCGTAGAGTTTTAGTTTTTTGGCTCACGGCTCCTTCCGCTGTCTCCATAGCCAGCAACATAGCACTTTCAGCACTCCTCTCTGCTGCATCAACTTCCCTGTCTGTCTGTAGCTAAATCTCCCACTGCTTCCTGCTTCTAAGACACTGAGCCAGCTCAGCTAATCCAGCATAATCTCTCCTCTCAGAATCCCACAAGGAACATCGTTGCAAAGTCCCTTTTGCTGCATAAGGGGCATTCCCACGTCTCAGAGAATAAAGGCTGCGTATCAGTGAGGGTGCCCACCCAGGCAAGCACAAGCTGTTGTGCATCACCCTCCCCTGTCACTCTGGCTTCTGCCCTTGCAGTGCCCACAGCCAGTGGCTTTTCCACCAAGTGGTCTCGTTTAATCCCATCCTGGATGTGATGCCTCTCTCCTCTGAGACCCTTCCACGCCCCGCTCTTTCACTGTCACTGACCTGCTGCTTGGGGTCCCACCTGTGCCGAGCAGGCATGTAGACCTAGTCTCTCAGCTGTGCACCATCACCACCCTGGGCACGTCTTGCACGCAGTTCTCACTCAGAAAAAATAGTGTCCTGCACGTGAGTTTTTATTTCCACCTCTAAAAAGAGGCTCGGATTCTAGTGTAACCAAAGTGTATCAGACACTGTAAAAGCAGAAGTCAGATGGCAGCTCACGTCCCCCATGGGACAGTGGGGCTGGCTTATTGTCTGTGTCCACAGGCTTCCTTAAGGTGTTAGGAAGCAAAGCATTATGGGATTGATACTAACCTATGCCTACCTCTCTTTCAAGGCTTCTCCTTGTATCTCACATGCCTTCTGGAACATTCTAAAGGAATTATGAGCCAGATTCAGGAACTCCAGGTAATTCTTCTTCAAGTTTTTTTTTTTTTTTTCAAAGATCACTTCAGCTTCTGTTTGGGGTTGTACTGCACTGTGCATTTGAAATCTGTGTTTGCACTGTGGATTAGTGTCTTAGTTACTCTTCTCTCATTGCTGGGACAAATACCCGACACTCAAAATGAAGAAAGGAAAGGTTTATTTAGCTCACAGTTACTGGAGGCTTCAGTCCATACTCAGCTGGCTCGGAGACAGAGCAGCACATGGCAGAGGGCAAACTTTCAGGGCGGCAGCAAAGAGCAAGAGCACAAGGGAGGGGTAGCAGCAGCTCCAGCAGCCAGCTTCTCTTCCCACCTTACATTGTAATGCAAATTACCTGCCCCAGGGCAGGTGCAGCATCCACACCCAGGGTAATCAGTCACAAACTTCAGAAGCCGCCCCACCACCCCAAGACTGCAAGAGGCTTTGGGGGGATACGTAGACACAAGCCATCACAATTAGCATGCATCCTGCAGGAGGGGAAATGATTTCTCTATTAGTACACAAAGAGATCCAGCAGGGTGGCTGAGATATCCCACACACACACACACACCCACAGCAGACACCCGGGGCTGCCCTCTGTTTCAGTCTCTGGACTGACCTCAGTGCTTGTTTTCTTGGGTCAAAAACCCAAAAGAAGAAAAAAGAAAAGAAAAAAAAGAGGAAGAAAGAAAGAAATGTTATCAGATCTGATAGGTCAGCACTCAAAGTTTCCCAGGCACCCTGCCCCCAGCACTGTCCCTCCTGGTTTCCCAGGCCCCCTGCCCCCAAACATTCTCCCCCTTGGCCCCTTGAAGAACAGGTCCATCTGACTTTGACCTGGGCAAGCAACCACAAAATCTCTCCTTTGTTAGCATCAAAAGCACTCCACAGACAGGTAGCCCTGCCAAGATTGGCTCTCCCTGGGCTGTTTCAGACCACAACCCCCCCCCCCACACACACACACTTAAACAACTCAACACCTTAAAGGCCCTGTGTTTTGCCTTGTTCACTGCTGTCTTGGTCCACTAGACAGCCAGCCTGCTTGCTGTCCCCAATCAATTTTCTACTCACATCTGAATGCCTGGTCTGCTGGATTGTGTGAGTTCGTACCTAACAAGATCTTGAAACTTATCTTTATTAAATGCAATAGAAGAGCAGTGTCCATAGTCTAGGCAGTAGAATTATCAACAGGAAGAAATTATTCTAAAGGCAGATGACCCTTAAGGACTGTGTCATTATAACCACTCGGCATAATTACGCTGTGTAATAAGCACATGCAGCGAGGACCATTTCCTACTCATCTAGCTGCCTGAGGCCAGCAGTGAGGCGGTCTGCCGACCTTGGGTAGGCTCGCTCGCTCGCCTGGGTGTGGGCTGCCCTCGGTCCGTCTAGGTTGGCCTCAGTTGATCTAGGCTGGCCTCTGGACCAACTCAGCTCTGCCCCTGAACTCTCTCATTCTCCAGCAAGCCAGCCTGGGCATGTTTTCCTGGAGGCTGCCAAGGGAGGAGAGAGAGAACCAATCATGCAAGGCTTTTCAATTCAAAGCTTGTCTTCTGTCTACTGGTATCCTATTGGCCAAAGCAGGTCACATGGCTGAGTTATGTGCCAGGGGAAGGCCACAGGCTGGCGCTCCAAGTTACATAGGCAAAGACATGGATAAGAGATAGGCTGGAGAACCAAGACCACCCTTCTAATCAGCCACAGAGACCTGAGTCCAGGGTTCACCAAACATCTTCTGCAAATGGCTGATAGTAAATACCTTTGGCTTAGCAGAACATATGGTCTCAGTTAAACCTATCAACCCTGCTATGGCAGAAAAAATGGCAGCTTTTGGTACTGTGTAAATAAATGGGAAGATGGACATGGCTCTGTTCCAATAAAACTTTATTTACAAAGTAGGTGGTGGACTAGATCTGGCCTGTGGACTGTAGTTCGTCAACTCTTGGTCTACCCCATTCTCTTCATTTTGCAGATATGTCCATCAAAGTCCCAAGGGATTGGTGACACTTCGATTGTCACACAGCTAATTAGTAAAAACATAAGACAAAAGCTGAGACCTTCTGACTCTTCACTCGCTGTTTTTCCTCCTTGGCCCAGCAAATAGAAACTGACCATTCTAGCTACCATTCACTGAGCATCTACTATCTCCTAAGCACCGTGATAACACCTTTGCCTCGTTATCTCATTTCATCCTGACAACTCTGAGATGCAGACACCGTGGCTGATTTTATTTTATAAATGGAGAAGCATCTTAGAAGTAACTAAAGCTAATTTTCTATCTAGATCTAGAGTGGTTTGATCCCCAGATCCTCAGGCCTTACCCGACCTGCCCTTAAGGCATTCTGAGCTAGAAAGAAAAAAAAAAAAAATTCTATCTAGATCCAGAGTCTGAAGTTTTACAATTCTACCACTTTCCTACCAGTATCTAGAGGAAGTATAGTTTGTCTGTGGTTTTTGGTAATGGTAACTCTGGTGAACACCTTTGTCCCTTGAAAGGTAAATCATTTGTCAAGGCACTTGGGAAGGATTTTTTTTTTTTAATGTATTTGGTAGAGTGTCTTACTACACAGCTTGGACTCGTGATTCTCCTGTTTTCAGCTTCCCCAGCTGTGGGATTACAGGTGTGTGCTACCACGCCTAGCCTTTGTGGCATCCAGACTGGGACAGTCACAGCATGCGGTACTGGGGATTGAACCTGGGTCCTTGCGCTTACTTAGGCAGGCGCTTGGACCACTGAGCCATCTCTGCAGCCCATTGGGAAGAGCTTCTTAGTCCTCCCTCCATCGGATTCAGCCTCCTCTGTCCTCAATTTAGGTCCAGATCAACAGCTCTGAAGAAACGCTGCAGGAGCATCTGGCGGAGAAGGAAAAGCTGAGCGAGGAGAGGCTGGAGCTAGAGGAGAGGATGAGGGCCAGGGTCAAGCGGCTGAGGGAAGAGAAGGAGGTGAGGTGGTCGCTGCCGCTTGTTTTATAGCTAGAAGCTGGCAAGAAGGCCTTTCTTGTTCGCGCTTAGCTGAGGAAATCTGAGCAGTTCCTGGATTCATGCTGTGGGTCGACATTGATTAAACAGCAAAATCCACTTGGAAAGGCAGGAGTGTTGGATGGGGGATGCCACCTTATTTATTTCTACGCTGCAGTTGATTATACAAATGGACTCGTCACTGCCAGTCCTGGGCTGTAAGGGACAGACTGTTTCCAGGCGTGTGCCAACTTTCAGACTATTTCAGTCTTTTGCTATCTCTGGATACACATCAGGGAAAACAAGCCCCCAAGCTGCCACTCGCTTTTCTAGAAACCAGGCCAGTTAGAAGGCACCAGACTGCAATGCTTGCCAAAGGCCGAGGTGCAGGGGACAGTGACTCCGTGGGTCCGGTGGCTCCCACATGGCACAGGTGGGCCAGGGCTGCATCTCAGAGCGAGGCTTTCCCAAAGCTTCCCACCCCAGATGCATGGAGCCCGAGTCTCTAGAGAAGGCCCAGAGACAGCCTTCCATAAGCCCATTCTCATCCTGGCCCGGGGACCGGCCTTTTTCACTATTCAGGGAGCAGCCAGGCTTTTCACTTCCTTGACGGCTGTCATTCCAGGTCAGTGGCTCCTGACTTTGCCTATGCTTTTCTCCTGTAAGAGATTCAAAAAGGGGCCGGGGAGATGGCTCAGTGGAATAAGCGCTTCCCTGGCAAGCGTAAGAGCCTAAATTCAATCCCCAGTTCTGAAAAAAAAAAAAAAATTCAAAAAGTGCTCAGCCTCGCTCCTTTCCTACTCTGGGATTCCGGTCACACAAGGTGGAGGTGGCTCCCATCCTCCTCCATCGCCTGCACCTGGCCTGCGGGCCGCTCCAAGCCTCTGCCTCTCCCATTTCCATTGTCTAGTTCATGTCTGGGCACCTGAGGACATCTCGCGGCTCCTCTCGCTTCTCCTCTCTTTCCCTCTGTCTCTGCCTTTCCTGAAATAAAAGATGAAAAAGAAGAGCCATGTGACGTCCCCATAAAGTTAATATTAATGACAGCCATAAGTCGGAGGGGCACATCTTGAGGTCCTCATCGAGCGTGCCACAGGCAAGAAGGGCTCCATCCGGGCCTCTGCAGCCCACATTGTCCCACGGGTGTGGTGAGCAGCACAGGGTGAGCCACTCAACGTGGCAGAGTCCACATCCCCGCCATGGCAACCAGGGCACTCAGCCACGGTCCTTGATTTGCAGGCTTTGGAGGACAGCGTTGCCCAAGAGAGAAACAAAGCCAAGGAGGAGCAGAAGAGGGTGTGCGAGCTGGAGGCGCTGCTGGCCCAGCAGAAGGAGGTGCCCTGCGGCGGCTGGGGAGGGGGAGCCGGCCTGGAGCCCCTGCTGGAAAGGCGGCACCCTGCTTAACCTGGAGCTGCTCCTCCAGAGCCCACACCCAAGCCCCTGGGCTCCTCTGCCCACAGCCTCCTGGGGGCAGAGCGCGCACAGCCTGCGGAGCCCAGGCTCCCGCCACGGTCGCCGGGACACTCAGCGGCTGCTACTGACTTGCAGGCTTTGGAAGACAGAGCTGTTCAGGAGAAAGGCAGAGCCAGGGAGGCCTTAGAGGAGGCCCAGAGGAAGGTCCGTGAGCTGGAGAGCCGCCTGGCCCGCCACAAGGAGGTAGGCTGAGCTCAGGAGGGGTGGCTTGAGGGCTGTGTGCACGCATGGTAGTCAGCTCCTTCTCAGTGACTGAACACAGGGCTTTTGCATTAAATTACATCCCCAGCACTTTCTTTCTTTCTTTCTT